TACCTGGCCGGTTGGTAACAATGATATGCCTGTGATCATATCTTCGTCCGTGTCGCTACCTTCCGACGACACTTCGATGTTATCAATATCCCTCCCCCGGTAATCCGGCCCATCCGAGGGTATCGCCAGGTGACTTAACAGCCCATCCGAGTATGGAAACTCCCCCAGGTGGCCTTCCTGCCCATCCGCGTGCAATGGTTCAGCTCGGTGACTAACCAGCCCATCCGAGTGCGAGAAATTCCCCAGGTGATATTCCAGCCCATCCGAGGATACCGCCCAGTGACTTATACGAACCAGCCCATCCTTCGCTCCTCGGTGACTATCACCTGGGTTCAATTCTCCCCGGTGACTATCCTGCCCATCCGCAGCTTTCCCTTGGTGACATATGTATCCACCTGGCTCCGCGAATTTCCCTTGGTGACTTATTTCCAGCCCATCCACGGCTAACCCTCGGTGACCAATTTTACTGTTACTTATTTCCGGGCGATCGTTCGGATGTTCGAGACAATTTATAGCAAACACTCTTCGCTCTATTTCGTGCTCGTAACCGTCTACGTATTGCGATATGGGGGTGGGTGATGAGATGGGTACAGGGTTTCGCGAAAGGGCATTGGCGTTCGCATTCACTCTTCCGGGTTTGTGAATTATTTCGTAATCGTAATCGCGTAACTTTTCCTTCCAACGAGCCAGCCGTGACGTCGGGTTTTTAAGGTTATGAAGCCAAACAAGGGGTTTGTGGTCGGTTACTATAATGAATTTTCTGTCGTATAGGTACGGTCGAAAATGTTGTACGGCAAAAACTATCGCAAGTAATTCCTTTTCGATAGCGGCGTAATTGAGTTCGGCTTTGGCAAGGGCACGCGAAGCGTATGCGATAGGTAAGTCCGAGCCGATTTTTCCTTGGCTCAGTATTGCGCCGAGAGCGAAATTCGAGGCGTCAGTCGTCACGACGAAGCTCCGGGAGAAATCTGGAAATTGCAATATCGGTTGCGAACAGAGGATATCCTTAAAGGTTGAGAATGCTATTTCCTGGGCTTCGTTCCATAAAAATTTGGCGTCATCTTTTAATAACGTGTGTAGAGGAGAGGCCGTTTTGGCAAAATTTGGGATGAAGCGTCTATAGTAGCCGGCAAGGCCAAGGAATTGTTTGATATTTTTCTTTGATTTTGGTCGAGGGAAGTCGCGTACAGCAATGACCTTGGATGGGTCCGGTTTGACTCCATCTTTTGATATGATGTGCCCGAGGTAGCCGACCTCTTTCCTTAAAAAGAAGCATTTATCCGGTCGTACAGTAAGTCCTGCGGTTTTGAGACGCCCGAAAAGTTTATTCATTTTTTCCTTATGCTCCTCTAGGGAGGATGCGTATACGACTATGTCGTCCATGTATATGAAGAGTTCAACGCCTTGGAGGCCGGTCAGGACTTTGTCCATGAGGGCTTGGAATGTCGAAGGGGACCCTTTTAGGCCCATTGGCATACGCTTGAATTGTAGGTGGTGAAAAGGGGTTGAGAAGGCTGTTTTGTGCGCGTCACAGGGCTCTATGGGCACCTGGTAAAATCCGGATTGCAGATCAAGGGTCGAAAAATATTTGCTGCTTCCGAGTTGGTCTAGAATTTCCGTGATATTCGGTAAGGGGTACGCGGACGCGATAGTTTTTTCGTTTAGCATACGGTAGTCGATCACCAGCCTCCACTTCTTTTCGCCGTCAGGTCCTGCCTTTTTGGGCACTATCCACAGTGGTGAGTTATAAGGGAAATCAGATTCTTCAACGATATCATTGGTTATAAGCTCGGTTATTTGCTTCTGAATCTCGTCGCGGAGATAAGGAGGGTGTCGATACTGTTTTACATTGATGGGTATGTCGTCGGTGGTCACAATTTTGTGTGTCGTGGCCTTGGTCATGCTAAGACGGTCTGATGGTAAATGAAATTGTTGCGGAAATTTTGCGACTAGGTTTATGATATGAGCGCGTTCATCGGAATTTAACGAGTCAAGATTTAACTCCTTCAGTATTGAATCGATTCTTTCTGTGTCCGGCCCGTGTGGTGGTTTAATCGTTGGCCTTGCGAGGCGCACTCGAGCGCTGGTTTCAAAGTCATATCTCTTGATAGGAGGGAGGGTGAGGTTAATGTCGTAAGATGTAGAATTGGTAATAAATAAGGGTGCCCGGTGATTTAGGGTTTTTACGAGGCATTCCCCGGCGAAGATGCCGGGTCCTGCTTCGATGCGTAGCACGTAACTACTTCCTTCTCTGAAGTCGCAATCGAGGTCGACTAGTGTTTTTGTACGAGCGCGCAGATAATAGGTTTTATACTCGATGAGGGGTAATTCTCGAAAGGATTGGTCCCCGATAAAGATTCGATTCGCCGCGAAGGATAGGACGGCTTTTTGTGTTCTCAGGAATTCCATTCCCAGTATACCGTCGTACTCGATGGGAAAATCGTCCCGCACGATATCTAAAGGACATGGTTTGTCGAAGAAATTGAGAGTGACTCTGCCGAAGGTAGCGACTGCTTCGTTATTAATCCCACTCAGGTGATATATTACATGAGGGTTTATTGAGACATGATTTGCTAATTGAGCAGCAAAATGAAGTTAATAAAACCCTTGAGAAGCTGGAGGAGCTTCGTACAAAGCTTGAGTAGGTGGACCAGCTTGATAAAAAGCTTGAGCAGGTCGACGAGCTTGATACAAAGCTTGAGCCGGTGGACGAGCTTGATACAAAGCTTGTGCAGGTGGACGAGCTTGATACAAAGCTTGAGCAGCAGGTGGTGGTTGACAAAGCCCTGGTGTTAACTGGTTGGACGAGAGCGATACCCTGTGTTGCAGGTTTGTTTTAAGGAAAACCATGTTCTGATTGTTTGGAAAGGATTCCAAAGCTCCAGATCCAGATGGTGGGTTATTTTCTTTAGCCAAATTTTTCTTGTATGTGGTCTTAAGACTATTCCATGCTGCCTCAATTCCTGCAACTGACAAAAAAGAAATTTTTTTTTATTAATAATAAAAATAATATTGACTAAAATTTAAATTATTTTTTGTTTATTTGACAATGAAAAGAGATTAAAAAAAATTACCTGTTTTGTTAATGCCTAATTCCATTAAGTAACTCGATAATACGCCTAATTTTTTCTTTTTTTCCCTGTCATGAAACAGTTTTTCCCCTTTATCATATAGATCAGGATTGTTCCGATAAAAATTGATTACACTATCGTGAAAAACACCAGTTTCATCATGAAGTTGATCTTCATTCATTATGAACTGTATTATTTTATAATTTTTCACGCTAATAATTATTATATAAATAAAGTTTAATGTTCTGTATAGGTTAATATGCAAAGGACGAAGTTGCAGGAAAAAAGGGCGGTTATCGTAGTGCAAATGGGGAATACCGGTTCGATATTCGGTAAGAAAGGAAGAAGGTCAGTTCGATAGTTTTATAAGTTAAAGGACGGTCACTTTTACGTTTTCGTACAAATAAACTGACCTTACTTTCAACTGCATTAATGTATTTTTCGCGAATCTCAGACGTCGAAAACAGCAACATGGACCCAATAGAAAACATTATTGCAAAATGTTTAATTCAAGACGACACATAGTTATATCTATGATGATAAAAAATTAATGCATGGTGATCCAGAAGCTACGAATTCATTCTTTGTATTTTTAAAACGAACAATTCAAGAAACACTAAATCGGGATGAACAAGGTTAGGGTCATTTCAATTTTATTATTATTTTTTTTCATTATTTATCAACATATATTTATTAATATATATATTTATTCATTATTTGCAGTCCATGATTTAAAAGACAAGTGGACCAAGATGAGGAAGCGCTTTGTTGCGGCTAATAAAAAGAAAAGAAATCGACAAAAAGTACTGGTCAATACTGAAATTTTCTACAGAAAATTTCTATTTTTGGAAGAATTCATTGACCACAAAGATGGTCGTGTTTACCAAACTCTAAATAGAAAAGCATTAATTGAAGAGGTGTACGATGAGGTAATGGGCCACACTTATGGACCAGGTGAAGAAAACCAAGTTTTGGATGATATTTTAGCTAGATTTAATGAAGTAAAAAAAGGAGATGATGTTATTGTGCTCTCTGATACAGAAGATCTGGAAATTTTGGACAGTTACAAAAACATTGTGCAAGATAATTTATGTCGTTCAGCTAAAAAAATTAATAATGAAGAGTTATTAGAAAACGAAATGAAAAAGGATTTAGTACAGCCAAAACTTATGTTCCACTTCCTTCATCTGCAAAGGAAGGAACCACCCAAGAATCTATGGTTGCAAAATTACGCCTTAGAAATGAAACTTGTAGTTTGTTCACTAAGCAATCGTTGGTGAAAGGGCTGTTAAAATTGCTATGTAAGCAATAAAGGAATGCAACAATGAATTTTTAGTGCATCTACGTTCTGAAGTCATAATGAGTGCATTCACAAAATATTGTAACTCATTTGAATTTAATTTTAGATTCCTTTTTTGATGATTCATATACTTAAAACATGTACTTGCTAAGCTTACATTACTGTACTTGAATAAATGCCAATTAGAAATTCAAATTAATTAAATGAAATTAATTTCAAACCTACACAATCATTCATTTCTTTTATTTATGCAAATAATTAGCTCTCAACAAAATTCATATAATCACAGCCTTACTTGTCGGAATCATAAGTTTTCATATCTTTTTCAAAAGACACCAAAGAATTAAATATGTACCGAAGATAAATGGAATATTAATTTATGAGATATTTACTAATTAAACTCGCTGTTAAAAATGGAAAGGCTACAGGTTGAAAGAACAATTTTAATTATATATTCAGTATTTTGTGGGTAATAATAATTGTATCAGTACATAGACTAGTAATATTTATTTCAAATTTAAAATTTTTTTTTCTTTCAAAGTGAACTTTCCTTACAACTGTACTGTACAACTGTACTGTAGGCAGTACTGTAGTTTTTAATATGTTTTATAAAGTATATGTTTCTAGGATTAAATTTTTTCCCATTGGTAATGAACAGCCCCTGCTGGAGATACAAAATAATTCATCAGAGAATTGCGGACTGCAAATTCCTGAAAAACATTGCCTCCTTGTATATTATTTCCCACTTCAATGGGACAGTTGTTCCATCGGTTACCAACACAATTATATTTCATGTCTAGTAGCAAATTGTTTAATATCAGGGTGCTCATTATTATCTTTTCTGTACTTTCCAGTTCCCACTGCAGAGCTTTTTCGTGAATCTTCCATTGTTGTGTAAGCTGTCCAAAAGCGCACTCTATGATACGTCTAGCATGACTGATTCTGAAGTTATATATCCTTTGAGGAATAGTTAAGTTCTCGTTTCTCATGAATGGCTTCATTAGATAATTTTTTAGAGGAAATATCCCATCACCAATGAAGTAGTGAGGACATCTGGTCTCTGTACCTGGTAAACTTAACGGTGGAGGTAACTCAATCTCATTTTCACAGAGTGCAATACCTAAATCGCTATTTGCTAAGACCCCAGCGTCATTCATGCTTCCTATAAAAAATAGTTTAAATAGTATATATGTATACCATAGTATATAGTATTTAATAATACAGATATTAATATGCCACTACAGTACATACCGTAATACCCAATATTTGCCCAGATAAATCTTTTTTTGGAGTCACAAATTGCCATATTGACGATACTAAAAAATTTTTTGTAATTATAGAACAAAGACCCACTATTAGGTGGTTTAGAAATTGGGCAGTGACGTCCATCTAAAGCTCCAACACAGTTAGAAATATCCAAGTCCAGATAAAACGCAATTGCTATAGCTTGAAATTCATTTTTGGTTGGAAATCTCATGAATAATGGTCCAAGTTTTAAACAAATGACCGAGCAAACTTCTGGTATACATTCAGCCACGGTGCTGTATCCAATGTTGAACATATTTGCTAAGGTGTTCAAGGAAACTGCATAAGCCAAATAACTAGAAATAAATACAAAATTTTTATAAATAACAATTGCTAAAACATACTTTAAACTAATGATATATTCACTTACTGCAAAGTCATTGAGAATTGTAATTGTGGTGGTAAAGATGGTCTAAAACTTGTTATGATTAATGATGGTTTTATCAGATCGTAGGTGTAGTTGAAGGTATGAACATCCATCCTAGTAACGTTGATGAATGCTTCCTCATCTTTCAGTTTGAATTGATGAAACAACAATTGATATCCACCATAACCAGTTAAATAATTATGGCGAATGTGGGGTTTGCTCCACCATCTTCGCTGACGTTTTTTTTTGTTTACTGTGACACTCCATCACATTTAACAATTGTATACCAAGGTCGACAACAGCCATCAATTGTTCATCCATGTTTGAACTTTTATACTTAAAAAATAATTATCCTAACACTCACTTTCAAGCTCACAATTGTATGTACAAAATACGCAATTTTTACTAATAATTTGTGTCTAGCTTCGAAAGTTGACTACAAATAATTTTGGAGTGCTCAATTTCCTCTCGAGGTTATAAACTGCATCGCGATTCTGCTGTAAACAACACACGAAAATAGGTTTGTTCGGCTCTTGATTCGATATTATATCGATACTATCGAAAAAAAAAATTTAAGTTGGTGGTAACTCGGAAAGCGCACGAATATGCGCTACGAACTCTCGTTCAGTCAGTATCTGGAGGGACCCTTAGTCCTGCTTCGCTGATTTGAGTACTTGCCATCAGCCTGGTCATACCATCCGCAGTGTTTGTCTCGATCACTATCGCACCTGACTTGGTTGGCCGACAACTGCGTATGTGGATTTTTTCCTTAGCAGGGTTAACAGCCTTTCGCAGTTTTTGTTGTAGTTCAGCCACAGGAACCTCGGCATCTTGAGCTGTAATCCTAAGCACATGTCTATTTTTAAAGACTGGTCTTGCCTTCTTCGATTGGCTGTCGATTTTTGGTGCTGGGATGGGCCTTTTGGCTTTTTGAGCTATCGAATCTTTAGATTTGCTCTTCAACCTTTTTGTTGCCTCTGCGTAGGATTGCCCCTTTACTGACTTTTTAGTGCAGTCGTACTCCGTTGCTACCAATCGGCCTCTGAGGTTGGCGTTCTCAAGGGCCAGGCTGAGAAGTGATTTTCTGATGTTCTGGAGTTTTTCAGGTACTTCATCTAATCTTTCAGCACAAAATTTCTTTTTAGCACGAAGTTCAAATATGTGCAATATTTCAAGCAGTTCCTCTTCTGCTTTTGCATAGAAAGTTAGTTCAGGGCCGGGATCACCGACATCTAGGATTGTTCTTTTCTTTTTGTAGCTATTTGTGGATATTCCACTTGCAGAGCTGGCGTTGCTCGAGGCGCTGCACAGAGGGGACGAATGATAAAAAAACGCACTAAATTCTTGCGTACCGCGCAGTTCAGCGGAAAAATTGAAAAAAAAATTTTTCGTCATTCAGAAAGGTATGAAAATACAAAAACCACTGTCCTTCTTTATTTAAGTATCAAAAATCAAATTCTACGCCTCATCGAAGTTAATGAAAAATTCGACAAAATAGCGTTATTATTACTTAATTCTCATATCATTGTACATGACAAACCTCTCATCGTTTATGCATGATATTATTACCTCAACATGCTAAGAAAGCTTGAAAACTTTTCTCAAAAAGTTTATTTAAATAAATGAATTATAATTATTTATTTATTTATTAACTATACACATGATTAAATGAAAATCGATAGCGTGATTCATGATTAAGAAGGAGTCTATTACCAATTATATGTCTCTAGTTTGTTTGTTTTTTTTTGCAAAACTATATTGTTCAAACCATTTTTTTAAACAAAACAAATTGTTTAAAAATTTGTTTAAGCAAAAAAAAAAAAATTGTTTAAACATATTTAATCTGTAAAAATTATATCCTGAAAAATGCTATAAAAATCGTTAATTATGCATGCATTGTTAAATTTGGCAACCAAAAATGTATCATTAGTAATAAATAATTGATTTTTTAAATAAAACTGTGCTTATCAACAAGCTTACCTAATTATTACACCTAGTTAAAAAATTTGGGAAATCGTAGTATATCAGAGTTTTAAATCAAATAATTTATCAACACTTTTTTTGTCTGATTTTATACGGAAATGTGTATATTTGTATATGTATACCTCACATATATGTGCATATACACTTGTGCAATCATAACAATAAAAAATAAATATAGTCAACAAAAAATAAACAATGATTGAGAATTTTCTTAATATAATAGTCAACAAAAATAAACAATGATTGAGAACTTTCTCAATATAATAGACATTTGTCCAAATTTGACCTGAGAATACATTTTAAATCATTATAACTCTTTAGACATTACTCTTAATTTCATTATCATATAATTAAAACCAAATTAATACATACGTATATATAAATAGTTACTAAGACACCTGAGACGTACAAGTCATTCAATTCATCTCCATTGGTTCTGCTTCGTCTTCATAGACTATATCTTCCCCTACATATTCTTCAACAAACTCTTCTTCGTTGATGATAAGTAGTGTTCTCATTTCATTTGTAAGCTCGTGTTTTTTTTTTCTTTAAATTTCTTTTCAGAGAAATAAGCGGATCTGAGGTGGCAAGCAACCGAAGAAATGTATCCGTATTTGTATCTGTTCTGTAACACAATTTATTTAACGATCATAAAGAGATCAATGAAAAAACTAGATTAAAATTTTCGAACGTATAAGCATACCCGAAGGCAAGACCTGTGGAAATCGTACGAATTTACGAACTTATATGAGCACATACAACGTAACACATCACGTCTGTTTTTAGGTAATTAATTAAGCAATGTTGCATAGAAAATACTTAACGAGAGGTTTTACGAGAAAATCGCTCTCGATTTAACTTGATATTTTTATTGTTACATTCCTAAGCCTCCTCCGAAAGCATACCAATTGGTAACGTTGCATGGTCAATGATCTGATGAGCATGAATTAAAATTACATGCAAGGTAGTTGGCATGTGATACCACTTATACGTCTCAGTGTACAGTGAAGCAGTGTCAAAACAGTATGCTTGAAATGCCACAGTATTTATTATTTCATGACTCGATAATACGTCCAAAATCACTTTCAATCGTTTCAGAAGCGTCAGATTGAAGCCTTTAAATGTATAATTACATATATGTATAAATAATTTGATGGAATTGAGGATGAGAATCGATAAACGTATATTTTGTATCAAACCTGTAATTGTAGAAACGGTGCTTAAATTTTCGAAGAAAGTTCGAGCAGTATTACCATCATTCGTGTTACCCGATCCGTGAGTTGGCATCGACGGTAATACCTAAACAGTCGCTTAATGCGAGTTGGATACATTTTTTTCGTTCTTTAACTTTTTCCTTAACTAGCAGATCATATATCTAAATTGAAAAGATAAAATAATAATATATTAGAATATACACGATTTTATAACATTTCAAAGCACGACTTACTTTCGGCACTTCAGTCCCTTTCACCACTATCTGATACGAAATATGAAGCACCAACTCCATAAAACGTATGTGTGCGTGAAGAATTGAAATTCCATACTTCAAAGCCTCCGGGACAATTGGTAATTTATACATATCGTAAATATCGTTAAATTGTGAAATTGTAGCCTCACACAGGTGACATTTTTGGCTAGAAGTCTCATTCAGAGCACTGCAAATCTACAAAAAATCCTTAGCAAGTTCATGTTCATATATAATTGAGACAAATAAAAGTATGTGATGTGCCATTGAAAATTTAATCGTTACATATTTCAATAAGAGCACGCGTGAAATAAGGAGAAAAACACTTTGTGCGAAAGAATGTGTCGAAGCTCCACACGAAGAGTAATACGTTTGCGCGAATGAGAGAAAGCTTGCTCGAGAAAATGTATAAGCGAGAATGAGAGAGAAAAAGCTTGCGCGAGAGAATGTATATACACGAGTGAGAGAGAGAGAGAGAGAGAGAAAGAGAGAGAAAAGGCTTGCGCGAGAGAATCTATAAACGCGAATAATGGTGAGAAAGAGCTTGCGCAAGAGAATGTTTAAGCGCGAGTAAGAGAGAGGAAAAGAGCTTGCGCGCACGGGAGAACTTGTTTGCGTTGATCTGAGCTTATTTATGTAAATACATCATCATTATTTGTCACCTTTCCATCTATCATCGTCAAATGCATTTCGAAAGAAATGAAACAATTTTCGTACACCAATGTATTGATTTCTTCTTGAAAGTTTTTTTGTTCATTTCTCGCGAGTTCCGCTGTTTCTTTTTCAAAACAAATTAGTAGGTGAGCTATGAGAGTTCGAGCCCCCCCCCACTCCTCCTCCCCATAGGCCACGCCCCCTTTCCCCCTCCCCCTCTCCAAGTCAGGGAGTGGGGGTACCACCACCCCTCTACCACCTGGAGTGGGGGGTCGATAACTGGGGATGCCTGTTTTACCGACGGTGGGTAAATCGATATCGATCGCAGGTAATCGACCCTGGTGTTACCGACTCGAGGGTACCCGGATACCCGGGGATGGATATAGCTAATCTACCTTGCCGACTCTCAAACATAACCTATACCTGGGCCAAGAAGGCAGCATGGTTGCTCTATATATCATATCGATTTCCAAATTGTCTAGAGTTTTGGGCCATGAAGTATGCATGGAGGAAGATACTTTACCGACTCCCTATACCGGTGGGTGTTATCGTTGATCGGGAGGTTGGTCTACCTTACCAACATAACCTATACCGAGGTATGTGTATTCTAGCATATAAAATGCCCCCAACACGATTTATCGGGGCCCGGCGCTTTACATAGAGCTTTATCGACAACTAGGGATTCCCTGATGCGATAAAAATTTCGCGTTAAGTTCGATTTCAAGAATTTTATCATACCACTGCTTATCATAAATGCAGTAACGTGCAGTAAAGTTTCAAAGAGGTGGCATTGATTTCATTGTCTGAGAAAGTACCGTCATCTCGAATCGAGTATCGTATTTAGTTTCACGATTGGGAGTTCTGAGAATTCCGAGATGTCGGCGAACTTGAAACAAAAAGAACGGATACAGTTTCATTTCTTGCCAGTTTTATCATTTCAAAGAACTTTTTTATTTTGCACTATCAAATGCATAACTTCATGGTCACGTGACCTGTGGAGATGAATATAAATAGGTCGACAGCGACGTGCGAGCAGTCATTAATTGTCGATTTGTCGAGTAAATCGCATCTTTCAAGGGTTTTTTCATAATGGAGCGTGAGTATTCGGAAGTGATCGAAGAGTTGCGACGAGCATTGCGTTTGGGTGAACGCATTGATGAATCTGTTTTAATCGAGGGTATTAGATATTTAGAGAATGCTCTTTCATCGATATTGTCGCGATCCAAAAAACACAAGTATCAATCGCAACTCAGCCATCTGCTTAGCATTCGTGCACGATACGAGAAACGCGGTTCGGGTCTAAGTGACGACGAGCTGCGCATCAAGTGGGAAGATGTCAAATCAGCGTTTTCGTGTCGCATTCGAACCGGTCAAATCGTCAATTTCAAGCACAAAGATGCTGCAGCTTTCCTAGAAGATGCCTTCACTATATTTGTGGAACGGATCAATGAGGCACTCGACAAACACTCAATGATCAAAGTCAATGCAGAGCTAGCAGCAGAATATATGACATTGAACAAAGATGGGGAGTTCATTTTTGGTGACAAATATTTTAATACTAAAAATGAGCATATATCGCAATCAACGGATTTGGGAGAATGGTTTACCTCGAATGTTCAAGAGCCCATTCTCAAGCAAATGGAGGAGTTTGAAGAGGAAGGCTCAGGCTGGGCTTTGAGCAAAATACTACATTTATTAGTTAATATTAATAAGTACAACCCCTCAAGAGTGGGCTCCTACATTCCACTTCCAGATACCATTGCCAAGAAGGAAGCTTGTGTGAATGTCAAAAACTTTGATGATTTTTGCTTCAAGTGGGCAATACTAGCAGCATTATATTCGGGGAAAAGAAAGAATAAAGATCGAGTAGAACAATACAAAAAGTTTGAAAATGAATTGAACTTTAGCGGGATCGAGTTTCCGATGAAATTAAAAGACGTACCAAAATTTGAAAAGATGAATAAAATTTCAGTGAATGTATACATTTTAAAGCAGAATTACGATGTCGAACCAATACATCTAACTGCTTCAAAGCAGGAAAAGCACGTTCACCTTCTCATGATTCAAGACCGCTACGACGATGAAGACTCTCCAGGAGATGACGATGAGTATATTCCAATCAACTATCACTACGTTTGGATAAAAAATTTGTCAAGATTGGTCAGTTCGCAATTATCCAATCATCATGGAAAAAAATATATTTGTGATAGATGTTTGCATTACTTCCATTCGAGTGATAAATTGACGAGCCACGAAGAAGATTGTTCCAGCATAAATAAATGCAAAGTGCTGCTACCCAACAAGAACAATAACAAGCTGACATTTATGAACTATTCTAAAAAAGAGTGGGTGCCTTTTGTTATATATGCCGATTTCGAGTGTGTGCTGAAGCCTGTGGCCGAGGCAAGAGCCTACAGTGTGCACGAAGCCTTTAGTTGCGGTCTCTATTTAAAATGTAATTTCGACGATGTGCTATCGGAATATAGGTGCTATAGAAAAGTGAATGATGATGATATGAGCCCGTCCGAATGGTTTGCCCAAAATCTTCAAGATATCGCCGACAAGGTACTTGAATTTTTCGACAATCCAAAGCCAATGTGTTTTACCAGCGTGGAAAAAGTAAAATTCGAAAAAGCCGAAATTTGTCACATTTGCAAGCGGGGATTTACAGAAAAAGATATCAAAGTTCGCGACCATTCGCATTTTACGGGTGAATATCGAGGCGCAGCTCATAGTAAGTGCAACATCAACTACAGAGACGTGAGATTCGTGCCTGTGATCTTCCATAACCTAAGCGGATACGATTCGCATCTTTTTATTCGCGAAGTAGCTACGGGATTTCCAGGTCGAGTCTGGGTTCTACCTCAGACCAAGGAGCGATACATCTCCTTCGTGAAATTCATGGAGGATCAGAGATTATCTTTTCGTTTCATCGACTCGTTCAAGTTCATGGCATCATCACTGGACAAATTGGCCAAAAACTTGAAGCAACAACCCACTCTAAGAAAAGTTTTTGGCCAGGATTACAACGGCGCACAAATCGATCTTCTCACGAAAAAAGGAGTGTTTCCATACGAGTACATCTCATCGCTCGAGAAGCTCCAAGAGACAGCACTACCACCACCCGAACAGTTTTACAGCTCTCTCACGGACAGCGATATTTCTACCAAAGATTACGAGCACGCGAAGGAAGTGTGGGACTCCTTTAAAATTTCCAATCTTGGTGAATATTCGGATCTTTACCTCAAAACGGATGTGATATTACTCGTAGAGGTCTTTGAGAACTTTCGAAAAACATGTCACGAGGCTTATGAACTAGATCCAGCGCACTATTATACATTACCAGGCTATTCTTGGGATGCAATGCTCTTGTACACCCAAGTCGAGCTAGAATTACTCACAGACGTAGACATGTTGCTATTTGTCGAGAAAGGAATTCGCGGTGGGGTCTCGCAATGCTGTAGCAGGTATAGCGAGGCCAACAACAGGTACATGGGCGAGGATTACAATCCTGAGAAAGAGGACGTATACCTGATGTACTATGATATAAATAACTTGTACGGTTGGGCAATGGCTCAGAATCTACCATACGGAGGCTTTGAATGGTCCGATGCCAAAGATTATCACGCATTGTCCGAAGATTCAGAGTACGGATACATCCTCGAGGTGGACCTGGAATATCCCGAATCATTACACGACTCGCACAAGGATTTGCCACTATGTCCCGAGCACGCCTGCCCACCGGGCTCGAAACAGCGCAAACTCTTGACCACGCTGAATCGCAAGCACAAGTATGTCATTCACTACAGGAGTCTACAGCAGGCAGTTCGACTCGGTGTTCGAGTCACAAAAGTCCATCGAGCATTGAAATTTAAACAGGGACCCTGGCTCAAGTCTTACATCGACTTGAACACCGAGAAGAGAAAAAATAGCAATAATGACTTCGAGAAACAACAATACAAGCTCTGCAATAACGCCATATTTGGAAAAACTATGGAAAACGTCAGAAAAAGAATCGATGTCAAGCTTGTTTCAAGCTGGGATGGACGTTACGAAGCAGAAGCTCAAATCTCGAAGCCAAATTTTCACAGCCGAGCGATCTTTGACGAAAACCTGGTCGCAATCCAGCTTTCAAAGACAACAGTCACCATTGATAAACCCGTATACGTTGGATTCAGCATATTAGATATATCAAAGACACAACTCTATCGCTTCCACTACGATTTTATGCGCGATCGTTTTGGAAGCAATTGCAAAGTCTTGTACACCGACACCGATAGCTTGGTGTACGAGATACGGGGCCAAAACGTATACGAGGTTATGAAGCATAAGGATAATATCAATGAGTTTGATACATTTGACTACGAGAAAGACAATCCATTCGGAATGCCATTACTTCGGGAAAACTCCAAGAAGATTGGACTTATGAAGGATGAACTTTGCGGAAAAATACTGCGGCGGTTTTGCGGCCTGCGCAGTAAAATGTACAGCGTCGATATTCAAAATGGTGGTGTCATCAAAAAGATCAAAGGTATCAAGTCATCGGTGGTAAAGAATACCATTACCTTTGACGACTACCTGCAGTGCTTGAGAGAGAATACAATCATCTCGAGGGAGCAGCACAACATTCGCTCGCGCCTCCACGTTCTGCGATCCGAGAAGGAGAAGAAGATCGCACTCAGTCCTCATGATGACAAACGATACCTAGTACCAGGGACCTTCGACACTCTGCCGTGGGGCCACAAAGACATCGCTAGCGAGCCTCCAGCCAAGAAGCCAAAGTATAATTAAAATATATATACTAAAAATTATCGAATAATAGAGCCTGCCGGATGTAACAAATTTCATTTCTGGACGGCTATTCCAAGAATTCATATCAAGCAATGCATACTGAGAACTTAAGAATTCCATCAGAGCTTAATATCAAGTTACATTAAAGAAGTGCACCGGATGTATCAAGTTACATTTCTTGACGTTTATTCCAAGAATTTATTTCAAGCAATGCCTACTGATAACTAAAGAATTCCATTGGTGGTTTACATTAAAGAAGTACACAGTATGTATCAAGTTTAATTTCTCAACGGTTATTCGGAGTATTGATATCAAGTTACACAAAGAATGTTCGGGTTTTCCCCGCGATGACATCATCGCTCGCTCGAGTATGAAGAGACTATTCATTACTGGAGTAGCTGGGGGTAGGGAGAGCTTATTGAGAGTGGGGGTCGACCGATAAATAGAGCGAGGAGCTCGAGCCAAGGCACAGTCGTCGATCAGAAAGATCCCACAGCACTTGCACAATTCTTTCACTATCTTTTTAATTTTATAAAAAATGGATTTTCAAAAAATCAATCAGCTGGCTAAGAGCAAAGTAACGTATTTACCACTAAAGAAAGTTACAGATCTGGTGGCAGATCGTAATTATAAAGTTACCGCCATTAAAAAAGCAGTGACGAAATATGGTCCGAAAATCGTAGTTCAGCTCGACCAGGAGTTCCAAATGTTTCTACCGAAACAAGTTTCCGATGCGTTGCTTGACACCTTCAGTGACATAAAGATCGACAATTTATACATTAAGTGTGTGGAACAATGTGTTCAGTTTTTTGAAAAAGAGTAAATTTTAATTATTGTAAAGTGTGTGTGGGTATGCGTTATACTTATTAAAAGAATTGTTATACTATAATGGTGATGTGAGGCATGAGTTATGCTTATTAAAAGAATTGGTTGTTATACTATGATGTAAGGTATGGGTTATACTTATTAAAAGAATTGTTATACTATGATGGCGATGTAATGCTACTCATAAGGTTCGTTAAATAAAAGAAAACGTTTGTTTAAAAATATACACACATGTCTCTTTATTTATTTAATCATACAATATCCTTTTTATTAATCCAACTATTATGACTATCATCGAAACCTAGCCATTTAACATAAGCCTGATCTCCACGTCTCTTGATAACTTTTTCTACGAGGTAAATGTCCGCATGCTTTGCTTTTGAAAGTTCTTCTTCGTAAAAACATCCGGAGATCGGCTGCTCGAGGTAGTCCTGCAAATGGTAAGTTACTGGATCCGTCGGGGCTACTCTGCGCACAGTGAAGATTTCAGTCGTCCAGTTCGGCTCATAACCCTTCTCGAATAGATGCTTTGCCTTGCTCACGCGAACTTGGTCGCCAATTTTAAACTTCCGTGATACTGATCCGACTCTTTGAACAAATTTCGTCTTCAGAATATCTTTCTCGTTCTTTTGTGTGACTCGTGCTGGTGCCATGCCAATCGTTCGATGTTTACGCTCATTGTAGTCGCTGGTTAATTTCGATACGATATTTGTCCACTTATGATTACCTTGCAAGCTAAACTGCTTCCACATTATATTTTTCAGAGTTCGATTAAATCGTTCGACTATCGATGCTTTCAAATTACTGTAGGTTGAATAGAGATTAATGTTGTACTTCTTCATTACCGCTTCAAAGTCTTTATTGTAAAATTCCTTGCCCCGATCGGTATGCAAATGTTTCGGTACTCTCAGTCCTTTGGACAAAATTGATTTCATGGCTGCGGCAATGTCTTTTCCAGTTTTGCTTTTGACCGGCACGGTCCAAGCGTACTTGGAGAAAATATCGATGCAGGTGAGTAAATACTTATAGCCTCCGTTCTCTCGAGCATACGGTATCATTTCGACCAAATCAGCCTGCCACGTCTCATCCAATCCGCGCACGTCCACCCTCCTCCGAGGATAGTTGCGCCGCGCGGGCCTGTGCAACTCCTCTACGAGATCTTTTTTTTGACTCATCTGCTGCTGCTTCTAACAGACTGATTCTTCGTTCCAACTCAGCTATTTCGACTTCGAACTTTTGTCGAACCTTATCAATTGACTCGCTAATACTGTTTATATTGAAATATAGAGTCTCAAAGTTTATCGCGTCTCGAGCATCTGCAGGAGCTCTTACGTTACACAGACGTCTATTCTCGATATCAAAATCAAGACCGTCTTCGGTGAGTTTGTATCCGATGCCTGGAACTCCTCGGCTACGCTCTTGCTTGTCGCTTAAGACTCGTCCGAATACGTCAACACTCATTTTGATACTGATAATTGTTGCAACGAAGCCCTCAATATATATACCCATCTTCGCGTAGTTCTTCGATTATGGAGGTGATCTCGTTGTCGTGAGCATTGTTTCCAGCAGATCTCTCTGCCACGAGGAGTCTGAGCCTATCCACTAGCTCGTTCGGATCGTTCCAGTATACGAAATCTTTCAATGAACCGCGACTTTTTGCCACTTTATAGCGAGGCAATAAACCATACCCGCGCTTCACCACTTTATAACGGGGTAATATACCACTTCCAGTTTTGAATATTGGCTCAATGATGTTATCGAATTTGTTGCTATTACATTTACGCAGATCTCCGTCATCGGCAAAACGTTTACGGTGGACATTCGTAGAGTCTAGTATTTTTTCATAAACTTTCATGTCGGTATTTGTAATATATTTAAGGTCTGGATTCTTTTTGAATAAAAGTTCGAGCAGACCTTTAGACTTGATATACGGCTCATTTCCAATATACACCTTGTCTCCATCGATACTTATCGGTGATTTGCCCAAATGATACTCATCATTTTCCCGGCGGACACCGTACAGCTTGTCGAGTTCATTTGATTGCATTTTAACCAAGTTTAAGTAATCTGCAATCATTTCATCTTCGACCTTGGGAGTCCATGCAGCGGTATCTTCTTCATCCTCGACCACTTGATCAGTATTCTCTTTCGAAATTGATGATTCTTCTTTAATATTTTCTAATTTTAAAGTTTGAACATTTTCAGAATCTTCTACTTTTAAATTTTGATCAGTTTTAACCGTCTGCTGTTCAAGCTTCTTCTTTTTATTCGCATGCGGACTTTTTTCTTCGTTTAGAGTGACTAGCTTGTTGATAGGTTTAATGATTGGCTTGAATGTCTCGATGACCGTTCTTTCGGTCTCATCTCTACCACGCTTTAGCATCAATGCCTTGCGACGTATCGCTTCGCGAGATTTGATAAGCTCGTGAAGTATCCTCTGCTCTCGCTCGGACATGTTAGCGCGGTAATGTACAATGATATACTAAAACATAACGATCAATGTTATGATATATTTATAGCAAAATTGTCGAATCCTTTTCGATATCGACCCGTGTTAACTCCAGCTCTATCCTTGTCAATGACCAAAAAACTATGCTGATCACTATTCCAGCAGTTGGCGCACAACTCTTTGAATACGGGGTAAGACATATCGGTGTTCACGTGATCGTCGTAAATGTGTCTTAGATTAACATCATCTTGTCGAAATATGACGAGCAAATTGACATTGTCTCGAACCAGATGCTTGGGAACGTGGGCATACGATTGACAGAGATAAAAACTGTCCACGTTCTTGTGACGTCCCATGCAGAAGTATGCTCGAACGTTATCCTGCTTCTCACAGGCTACATCGTCGAAAATCATTAGCGAGTTAGGCAGAGCTTCGTTCGGTGAGAGCACTGCTTCATGCTCGCTAAACGGTAAGTATCGCACACCATCTATCGGCTCCAATAGATCTTTCAAAAATTTATACTTTGGTTGGTTCAAAGACTTTGAGTACACGTATACATTTTCAAAACGAAGACCGTTCGGATGAGTGATCAGAGCGAGCAAGCAGTTTGTCTTGCCACAATTCGAAGGTCCGCAAAATACTGCTCTGATAGAGTCTGGCAAGAGATCCCCGTGTCGGCGAGCTTTTCTTTTCTCTTCGACTATATCAAAATTACCAACTGGAAGTTTCAAAGGCTGCTTTGAAAACTCCATGCTTGCTGGAGTCGCGCGTAACAATGAGCCGAATTCCTATAAATACCAGGCTTTTATACTTTTTTTCACATTCGCGTTCTAGCTCTTGTAATGATAACATACAGAGGTCGAGGCATTCTAGATAAAGTGATTGACAATTTACCTTTTGAGCTACATCTTAAAAATTATAGCTACTGCGGCCCTGGCACACACCTTGCGAAACGTTTAGCTCGTGGTGATAAGGGTATTAACCCTCTGGACAGTGCCTGCAAAGATCACGATATTGCTTATTCGCAAAAAAATCACGCTATACGTAGTAGTGCTGACAATACTTTGGCGGAAAAGGCTTTGGAGCGAGTTAGAGCACGGGATTCTTCGATTGGCGAAAAAATTGCTGCCCTTGCAGTAGCTGGCGCAATGAAGATAAAATCGAAAATAGGACAGGGTGTGAAATTAGCCAAAGTTGTTACGGCTGCTAAGAAGAACATGAAACGAGGCAAAACCTCCAAATCAGTAATCAAATCAGCTATTTCGGGGGCTAGAGAAGCCGTGAAAAAAGCAGGAGGGAGAAAAAAAGTAAAAATTCCACGCGTTCTACCGGTATCCGGCAAAATTGGGGGTGCCTTGCCGTTTCTCATACCTCTTTTCGCTGGCCTTAGCGCCGTCGGTGCCTTGAGGGGCGGGGCCGCGGGTATCGCTAAAGCGGTGAATGACGCCAAAGCAGCCGAGCGGGAATTGCATGAAATGAAAAAACATAACAGAAAAATGGAGGCAATTGCTCTCGGTAAAGGACTCTATTTAAAACCATACAAAACCGGTCTTGGACTATGTTTTGAAACAAAGCGAGGAAAAAAAAAAACTTCAAAATAACTTTACCAAATAGAGCTCTCACCAACTACGATCTCGTCAAATACGCCGAGCTTTTGAAAATTCCACACTTTCGAGGAGTCTTCATGAGGGACGAGTTGCCGCGTAGCGGTGCTCACTACCGCGAG